TGCTGTCTCGTATGTAAGGTATTAATTGCCCACCCCTCCATGCATCTCTCCCACGGCGTCATGCACGGACGCTTTTTTTTTTTTTTTTCGGAGGGGAGTGAGGACTGGGACGGAAGTGCTTTAAAAGGACGAGGACAGATGGGGACGAAAGGCGATTATTGTATGAATAAGGATGGAGGGACGATGACAGAAGGGTACCCAGGTCGCGGACGGAGGACGGACCGGCAAAATAGCGTAAAGTGAGCATTATATATCTCTGAGCATTATAAAACAAAATTATCACTTTTTGTAGGCTTAAAAAGCAGGATTACAGTAGATAATATTCAATAATTTTCAACAAAAAACTAGACTGTTTATTTATTGTACAAAATTCAAATGTATTTAATATACAGTACCGCATAATTTTTTTACATCACGATAAATAATTACATTTTTACTGTGTATGGCAGTACTTTATACTGTTTGTACACAGCAAACATGCGCACGGCCCAGCACTTTTTTCTTCCTACACCGGGACTGTTTTTCTTTTCTGCCGCAACTGGAGAATATACTTGCGCTGTCAGAATGCCACGAAAAACAAAACCAAAAAAAAAAAACAGCACTTTCTGCATGAAAGTAGCTCACGCTGATGGAATGAAAGCCACGCAATAAATTCCCCCGCGACACATTTTTCACAGGGAAGGGAAGCCAGATACAGGCAGGACGGTAACAGGGCGAAGCAGTTAATGCATGGCACCAAAAAGCCATAACACTAAGTAGACTCTGCCCACTTAAATCTTTACATTCTTCATTCACTTTAGCTCACCAAACACGACAGTCCCCATAGGCAAGTAATGAATAATCATTAGCAAAAGGTCCACAAATTATTGATGTAAAATAAGCAATGATTCTTTTTTTTTTGGGTGGGGGTGGGGGGCGCAATTTATAGCCATTAACATGTAACTTGCAATCCAATAAATGTCATCACGGCTTTCAGTTAATTAAAGGGAAAGATATTATACAGTAATGCAGGGTGGCGTTTATATCTCGATTTCCACACACTGCAATTTACTGCCCGGGCCTTTATTTGAAGGGACCCACAAATAATGGCCATTAAGCCGTCACGGGCCGGACAGGGGATCACATTAATGAAATTAGATAAGGTGGGGATGGCGATACGCCACTGGAGGCTCTCTGGAGACATGAAAACGCATGTGTGCGTGTGCGTGTGCGTGGGTGCGTGTGTGTTACACTGTGTGTTTTCCACTTGCTTTTGTGTATACGCTGACCTGCTCACTTGTCTGTTCACCTCCTCTTGCACTTTGTCCAAGCACAGGCAGGAGTCCACTTAGGTGTGCAGCATGAAGGTCTGCCACCTCATCAGTCCTACTGGGGCCGTCAACAGGCGCACACACACACACACACACACACACACACACACACACACACACACACACACACACACACACACACACACACACACACACACACACACACACACACACACGCAGAGTGGCACGTCGCTCCGACTAACAGGGAGGTGTCACTCGGGGGAGGCAGCTGCAGTCGCTGGTGTGACGGCTCGCCTCAAATCAGAGACCCTCGCCCCTGTCAACAGCAACCTGGCCCCCCAGGCTACCTGTGACACACAGCCCCCACATACTGAACATCCCCAACTCCATACACACATTTGAGGAGGAGTAGGCTCATTTTAATCTGGAGGGGTGATTTGGACCGGATGGTTAAAAAAATAAATAAAAAATACAGTCGATTTAAAAAAGTCAGCACACCCTGTCCAAATGTCAGGTTGTTGTGATATAAAAAATAAGACAAAGACAAAACTCCTTCCACTAGTAATGTTACTTCTATGACAGAGGCTTTTAAAAAATGGTTTCACCCTATTATAACTGGGGGATGTGGATTTTTTTTCACTGAGGCATTAAGGATTATCACCCACATATTAATGTCAAATAAACAGACTATGTACCATATGTCATAATTTTATACAGTATGGATGATTCTTATAAGGGCAATATTTCCGAGGATATTCAAAATTGAAAATGAGAAATATATCAACTTCACTACGACACAAACATTGTGAACATTAAGAATATCATTCGTTGTTTTCCTGGTGTGTGCGACTTGTTTGTGCGGGCAGCAGCCGAGACAAGGCGGCCCTCGTTGCGTATCAGATTAGGCGCCAATATCCAAGTCATGCGACAGTGACTTCCTGTCTGCGTGTCAGACGGCAAGTGAAGGCCCGTCGATACGGCGTCGTGCTGGCATCCTCTGCTCTCGTCTTCTCAAATGAGCAGAGAAGGGAGAGAACGACATCTTTATTCATTCATTCATTCATTCATTCATGGTGGAAGGTGAATGTTAAAGGCCAAGATTAAAACAACATTTCTTCTGTGTTTATAATTTTGGTTTGCTTTTGGGAGTTTGGGTTAGGCGAGGAACCATATCTTATTTGAAGTCATATTACATATGATATAAAAGATACCCCTTTACATTATGGGTAGCCACAAAGTCATGCTAAACTAGTTACAAATTGCATTTGCATTGTTGGCTCACTATTTGGCAAGCTGAGGCTCATTTTGTCCATTTTGTTCAATCTCTGATCCCTCTGTTTCTATGCGCGTGACTACATAACAGTAATATCATCAATGAGGGTCTACTATTTATAACAAAGGGGCAAAGTAGAAGGCTCACTATTTGACAAGGTCAAGTCTTAAATCTTTTTAACAACTTAAGTATATTGTAAACCGTTTAAATTTAAAAAGGAGAATTCGTATTTTAAAAGGAATTCCAATGTATTTGTTCATATTTAATTTACTGCATTCTAGTCGTGTTATGTTTTATTTGCAAGTTTTTAGCTGAATGATTGACTGGGTAAACCGATGTGGAAGCGTTTGGGTTTTTTGCTTTTTCTTTTTACACATATATAGACAAATACTGCCCTCCTGTGGCAAGATGAAACATGTACCGGGCTTTTTTATTTTCCAGACACTTGGGCACAAATTAAGTCCAAGAAATGTGTTTAATTTCCACTTTAGTGTTCCAAAGGGATGTCTTGGAGATATTACACTTGAGTCAAATTAGTACAAAGCAACTGAGTCTCACCGTGCATTCAGAACTTGTAACATTTGTCATTGATTGCAGCCCACAGCCCCCGTTGGCCAGTCTAATTCATTTACCAACCTGTCATTCCATGCATTGATTAAGTTGTCCTTCACCACCGCACACACACACCCCTCCCCCGCTGTTAATTATATGCAAAGAGATAAGATGTTGTCATGATTGTGAATAATCTACGAAATGAGAGGCCTTGTAGTAGAGCAAAGGGCCAGTTCAGAGGTGAACGCAGTTGACCTGGGAGGGTTCAGCTGGCCTACTTCATGGGATGTGACAAACGGATTTGGATGGGGACATTTTCTATTTATTTGATACGCTGATGTTAAAGGTGCAAAAAAAATCATTTTGTGACTCATAGTCTTGTTTAAGTCTACAGTCTTGTCTTTAGCTCATTTTAACACACAGGAGCAGCTTGAGTTGGGCAGGATTTGTATTTGGTGGACCAAGAGCACCAGACAACCTGTGAGAGCCGCAATTCTGGCTGAATTTCTCCAACTGAAAATTAAATTAAATTCTATATATTGGGAGGTTGCACTGTCAAAAGACAATTTTTAAAAATACTATTTTCATGGTAGAAGTACAGCAATGTGTGCGCCTTTACATTGAGACACCACCTGAATTTCACCCCTTATTATAAATGTACATCGATAATAAATGTTAATGAAATAACTGCCATCTGATTCTGATGCTGCCATTGTCACCATTCGTATGTGATTTTAACCGTGGTGATGTGGCAAGAGAGGTGGCATTTTTTTAATGTTGTATGATTCAAAGACCGCTAGAGGGCAGCAAAGGTCTATTTAAACTACATACCCTGTCCGAAAGAAAGTACTGTATTGAAGATGGTGGTGGCATCGGGAAGAGACCACAGAACTAAACTGAGCCACTGAGAACTACAATGGGCGAAGTCCATTTCTGTCACTAAGCGGGGGAGTGATTTAAATTATTAGGACTGCCACTACAACTCCAGTGCAACAGTGGTCTAAGTCCAAACACTTGATTAAGAATACAAATTAATGCAAGGATTTAAATTCTATGGGCCCCACCATATGGATTTTTTTTAGGCTGAAAAATACTGATTAACAATTTATCGTCCGATTAACTGAAAGATTTGTTTTGAATGACAGGTGCACCGAACGACCTCATCAACAAATTTCATTGTGTATATATATATATATATATATATATATCTGGCTGAAAATCAGCTTTGCTTGAGAGGAATCACAATTGGTGGATGATTCTCTCTGTGACTCTACAACTTTGTAGCCACTAAAACAACTGGCAACAAATACAGCAACTTTTTCTTGCGCTCAAGAGACTTTTGAAGACTCTGAGAATCATACCGGGCAAACGTCAGAGAAGGATATGTCACAATCGGTCAACCACGCCCCTCCTTGTGACATCTAAATCAGGCAAAATTCAGAACTGCTTGCACATCATTTCGGTTTACAACAGTCCCGAGGTGGCATGTTTGGAGGTTGTAATTGGGACCTGATAAATTACACTGGTCAAAAAAGTTAAAAAAAATAAAAATAAGAGATGCAAGTAAACCTTTCTTGAAGAAATTTGAGTGCTGATTGTGAATCTGCCCATGATTTTTCTCTAGTACATTAGCTTTTCATAATCATAATAATGATGATCATACAAAACAATAATATAAAATGTAATACTGTAGTCAGGATATGTCACAATCGGTCAACCACGTCCCTCCTTGTGACATCTAAATCAGGCAAAATTTAGAACTGCTTGCACATCATTTCGGTTTACAAGAGTCCCGATGTGGCATGTTTGGAGGTTGTAATTGGGACCTGATAAATTACGCTGGTCAAAAAAGTAAAAAACAAAATAATAAGAGATGCAAGTAAACCTTTCTTGAAGAAATTTGAGTGCTGATTGTGAATCTGCCCATGATTTTTCTCTAGTACATTAGCTTTTCATAATCATAATAATGATGATCATACAAAACAATAATATAAAATGTAATACTGTAGTAATATATTTAGCACTTTGTAATATTTACGAACTCAGGGTTAGCTTGAGCAACAGGTTGGTCATTTTTTCTGAAACCTCACAGGTATAAATTAGAATCCGTGGTAAAATCCGTATTGCGCAAGCTTTTAAAGGTCAAAATTGAAAACTTAAAAAAAAAAAAAAATCAAGACATGCCAAAAACTTGATGTGCGAGAAAGAAAGTAAAGACACAACGAGATAAGGACACAACGCAATCTTTGATTTGAATATGCTGTTGACCTGTTGTAGAAGAATGCAGTACAAGATGTATTGTTCAGTTACCACCGCTCTCTTCAATTAGAATGGTTTATATTCATGGCATAAAAGTGGTTTTCATCCACATATTCCTGTAATGGTGACTTAACTCCCGGCGTTAATATCGGTGAGCGTTTCAACCTGCGAACAAATTTAGGTGGTGTTGCCAAGGACTGAGGATCACCTGAACTTGAACATCGTCCTCATTTTTACATCCAGCATGATAAAGGATATAACCACTCACATAAAAATATGCTACTCTATCAAAGACATCAGAATGTCATTACAGTACACTTTTCGGTGAGTTGATGTTGATATCAAGTCATTGGCATTGGTGTTCCTGTAATGGTGACTTAACTCCCGGCATTAATATCGGTTTGCGTTTCAACCTGCGTACAAACTTAGGTGGTGTTGCCAAGGACTGAGGATCACCTGAACTTGAACATCGAGTATTTCCTCATTTTTACATCCAGCATGATAAAGGATCGAACCACTCACACAAAAATATGCTACTCTATCAAAGACATCAGAATGTCATTACAGTACACTTTTCGGTGAGTTGATGTTGATATCAAGTCATTGGCATTGGCGTTACCTTCTCTCTGTGATGACGTGTAGGGCAGTGTGCACTGACCATTGTGAATAAACTATGTGACCATCTCCATGTACCGTTTGTCTGTATTATACTGCCCCCAGATGGCCGAGGCACGCACACTAGAAGGAGCAGCACAGTAAATAAAATTGAAGCATTAAATCATGATGCTCAATTGGTTTATTTCTTTAAATTATATTTAATTATGTACTTACTATATGTTTGGATGACATACACTATCATAATTTATTATTTATCTTATTAAAAAAAAACATGCTTCAATGTTTTGGAGGCTTGGACAGATGACGACGTTTCTATTCATTTCAATGGGAAAAGAGGATTTAGTAATGAATAAACTATGTGACCATCTCCATGTACTGTTTGTCTGTATTATACTGCCCCCAGATGGCCAAGGCACGCACACCAGAAGGAGCAGCACAGTAAATAAAATTGAAGCATTAAATCATTATGCTCAATTGGTTTATTTCTTTAAATTCTAATTATGTACTTACTATATGTTTGGGTGACATACACTATCATAATTTGTTATTTACCTTATTTAAAAAAAAAATAAACATGCTTCAATGTTTTGAGGCTTGGACAGATGACGACATTTCTATTCATTTCAATGGGAAAAGAGGATTTAGTATAGAGTGTACAATCTCTATGAATAAAATTACATCAAAATCCCTCGAGCCAGTTAGTTTATAGCATCATCAACAGGTTGAAACAAAGAAACTGGAAGAGTTACAGGAATGGCTTGGAGATTTTCATGGATAAAATGCCTGTTCTGAATTTTGCAGTTCAGCTCCTTGATAGAGCAAAACAAGTTGCACAAAAAGTATTGAAACACTGAGGAGTTGGCCTCACATGACGCACATACCAGAAACCAACATTTCACTTGGACATGAGCAGCAAAAGATTTTCAGAAAGTCAAATTAATTTCTACCAAAAGAATAACACTATTTTTAGAGTACCCGTGTCAAAGTTGAGGACGCGGGCCGCCTCTCCCTCCACGGTGACAGCGACATTGTCCCCCTCGATGTAGGCGGCGCTGACACGTCTGTGCGACAGCTGGATCTCAAAGAGGCGACGGCTGCACTGCATGTGGTAGAGCGTCACGTCGTTCAGCCGTGGCTCAATGTCAGTCTTGTACGCGTTGAAAGACTGATGGAAGATGTTCTTCATAAGCTGACCGAGTAGTAAAGAAAGAAAGACGGTCCTTACAATGACATTTTACTACAGGTACTTGACATTTTGGGATAACCTTTTAAATGAAAAAAATGTTAAGAGATCAAATTTACTGCACTGCATCTGCGGCGGCACTTCCCATGATTTTAACATAACATGTCATTCCTTTTGTTTTATGTTTGACAGGAAAGCTTGAAGACTTTTTTGATGAATTATTCACGACCTGCCAAACTGCCGCTTGTTGTTAATTGAGTTGAATTAAGTCGGGCCGCTCGAATCTCAAGAGCTGAAGTCGGAAATGACAAAATTGGACAAAAATGCCCACCTTTGACGATTCTTATTTGCATGAACACATCTAAAACGTTTCAAAAGAGGGTTTATTCTTAATTACTTCACCGAATTTTGATGACTTGGTATCTGTGGCGGTTTATCAAAGCACTGGAGATGAACAATTTTCAATTCAAAGGTGAGGGCAGTGCCAACCAAAGCTCACTCTCTCTCTCTCCCACCCTCTTTTGTGACGCTTGTCTTCTTTCCACGCAAATCTGCGAAAGCATCTGTTACCAAGTAACGCGACACACCACGGACGCCCACGTAGCAACAAGGACGGCCTTGCCATGTACCTGAGTGTGTGTATGCAGCGGACACAAAAATAAGTACACACAGACACAAACGCACGCACACACACGCCATTCCTCTTGTCAGATGCACTCTGAGCGCATCTAAAGACTTGAACCTGCACTCACACACAACAGTGCACACACACACGTACACAGAAAAACTCTAATGGACTCTGCTGAGTGCAAGGTGATGAGTACCTAGAACAAGCTTCTGTAAACACCACTTTGATGCTTGGTCAGTACATTAGCAGTGGCGTATTTTGTCATTTGGGGGCTCAAGGCAAACCCCATCACTGTGCGCTGCAAAGACTCCTGCACTAGATTAAGTCCTTAAACTCCATTTTAAGGAATATTACTGCTTTGACTGCAATCTGTGACATGAAAGATCATCTGAAATGGCTTACCATTTTGCTGACAAGATGGAATAGTCCTTTGCATGAGAAGTGTTCAGCGTTGCACCAACAGTTGAGATTAGCACAATTTTAGTCCTGATTGTGAAGCACTGGATGTTAACTTGCGGAATGTAATGTCATTAGGAGTACCAGTAGCACACAGTTGTCGACAAGTGCACGCTGCGCAGTTTTGCGACTCTAGTAACGTGTAGTTGTCCTCCTAGCACTGTATACCAAAGTTGTCCTATAAATGATGACAAAGAACATGCAGTACATATTTTTCTCCCACTACTGCCGTCCACTCTGCACTACTACAAAACATTACAGTAAGACAGTTGTACCTCTTAGTGCACCGTAGTCATTCTACTAAGTTCACTGAATTGTCCAACTAGTTAAGACAGAGCGTACGAGTAATGTTTTTTTTTCCAGTACGACCTTCCACACCTGTGGTAGAAAACTGTTAGCACATCCTAGTTATTCTACTAGTGTGCTGAATTATCTTACTAGTGAAGACAAAGAGCGTACTAGTAACTCACTGAGGAGTTCGCCGTGTGTCTGAGGAAGCGGACCATCCTGGCGTCGGAGGCGGGACATGCAAGGGCCATGTAGCGGTTCCTGAAGGTGCCGTAAATCTTCAAGTGGAACCCGGGCTTGGCCGCGGGGTTGCGGTGCTCCCTCAGGGCTTCCACGCCATATGCGGACAGGTCAAAGTAGAGACTGTGGGCGCGGATCTCCGGAGTGGGCACCTGACGAGAATACGTTAAAAAAAGAAAAAAAGACAACTCGCACCAAATATCAACCGGGGAATTGTCATTGTTATTTCTATATGATGATGGAACAGTGGAGCTCATTTGCATAACAACGCCCCAGATTGCCTTTCTCTCCCCATAACTTCCATCAGCTAGACTGGGCGAAGATCCAGAGACACTTTCAAGCAATTGCAGGAATACACTACCTGGAATAGCCACGAGCAAATGGTATGTAGAGCTACTCTGTGTGTGAGTTTGCATTGAGATTGATTACAAAGTGCTGCCGCCGTGAGTGAAAATGCTTTTATTGTCTTTAAAAGCGCTATCTTTTTTTCCAGTTTGGGTGTCGCCATTGACAGAGCAGTATATGGAACGGTGTGTTCAATCACTTGCCAGAAAAGCCAAGAAATGGGTGTCTAAATGTGAAATAATACTTAATCCTTGAGATATTTTGATGAAATAATAATTTAGACACCAAAGAAGTGTTTTAAATGCGGGGGGAAAAAATGCATCATTGTCTCCTTTAAAACACTGTCAGTATCATTAATAAGGGCTTCATGATGCCAAGTTTTAATTAACAGTTTTCCTTATTTGTTATTGGGAAAGATTACATTGAAATAAACTGTTGTAACCGATTGGATTCCAATTGATTATATAAACGTCCACGGCAGTGAATTAGTTAATTAGTGTTGGGCATTCACGAGGGGTTCCTTGGAAAAGGTCTCCTGTGTCAGGGATCCCAGGATCCAAAACCCCTATTTTGGAAAATATATGTGCTGATTAGGCCCTTTGCATGCATGAGCTCTATCGGGTCATAAAGCAGAGAACATATAGTACATGATTCCCTATCTCTGCTTATGATGGATCCCTTTCAGTCCAACACTACAACATTACATCCCCATCCTCCCTCCAGTCGGAATTGATCCATCTCCCTTGTTCTGACATAAAACAGCCAAGCGGGATCAAACAGCATTTAGCGGATGGCAAGATGATGGGGACGAGTGAGCGAGGCCGAGCGGGTTGTATCCTGGGAGGCAAATTCAATCAGAACAGGAAACAAGCCTGGAAGGGGTGAAGGGGGGGTGGGATGGGGCATAACAGGAGGAGGCCGCCGACCTCTGTGCGTGGAGTACGTGATGTGAATAGTTAAGATGGCATCACACAGCAGGAAAGACTGTGGATCAACATGTACAGTGGACATGAGAAGTTGACATACGACTGTTTTTTGGTCGTTTGGGTTTTTGTCATATAGAAAATTAAAGTCACCTATAACCTGTGCAAGTCAGTTTTTTTTTCTTTTCAAGAGGGGAAGTTAAAATCAACCAAAATAATGTGACTGCACAAGTGTGCACACCCACTCGTAACTGGGCTTTGACTAAAATATTCAGCCTTGTTTTATTGGACCAAAACACATTTTCCCAAATGCGTATGAGAGATTTTGGTATGGTCCAATGACACCAACTTTTTGTCCGTAAAAAAGGTATTGGTGCAAATGCAATACCGCTCACCACAAAAAGTATGCCATACCTACAGTCACGGATGAGCTTGTTATTCTTCAGGTGGAACCCGAGTCAAGGTGGACGGCTTTATCACCAGTTCAAAATACACTGAAAAATAATTACATGTTGAATTTACTCAGGTTTATTTTGTCAAGTGGCTGCACACAATAGAATAATCTGGATTTAGATACATCTTTTAAGTAGCTGGATATATACATTGGGAATTTCTCCATTGTGAGACAAATACAGGTTTTCTTATCTTATCTTACCTTATCTTAGTCTCATTTAAAAAAAATTATCTAGATCCAGATGCTTTTATTGTGTGCAACTATGTGATGAAATAACTGAGTGAATTCAACACCATTTGTCTCTGTGTGGCAGGCAGTGTTAGCACAAAACTTTCATTCTTCTCCTAGAAAGTTTTAAAGAAAAATGTTAGGAAAAGCAGAGTAGAACAGCTGAACTTTATTTGGTGTTAATCAGATGGTGGCAGGAGACCGCTGACTCCAATTAAACACGAGTTTGACTTTGGTTGATTCTGGACACAGCCCAGCTATAAGAGGGTGCACAGACCTGTGCAACCACATTAGCCCGGTTGTTTATTTATGTATTTATTTATGTAATGTTCCCCTCACCAAAATATTTCATTGCTTTTCAATAGAGACGTGCAGGTTCTAGGCCACATTTTTGGTGGAAAAGGTTTTGAAAAAACTTGGTCTCCTTTTTTCACATTACGAAAAACTGGCATTTCAGTGTGTCTGAACTTTTGATATCCACGGTATATTCATTCACATGAAGATACTGGAGTATAGAACCCACACAGCATGTTGGATGGAGCTGCGTGGGTTTTATATATATATATAT